ATAACCCTCAATAGTCATTAATCGCCCGGTCTAAGAACATCAAATTTTATGACGGGAGGAAGAAGAGGTTCCAAAACTGTCCTCAATCGTGACTCTTTTTCCTACCGATCTCTCGTGGATTAAAAAAGTTTCCAGGTAACTCTCCAATGCCTAAGAATAAGGGTTGCTGGAATCCAGAGCCAGCATCTATCAAGCATTTGAGTGTCCACTTACGAAGCCTGTAAATCTTTCCTCGATCATAACCACTTAGTTTGTAGTTATTAAACAAGTTACGAGGTCGTTTTCGACCAAAGATTATTGTTGTAACAGCCAACCACTTCTGAGCTATAATTAAACTGTTTAGTAGATGCAACCTAAGCAGCCATGGTTGTGGAAAGATGTACAGGCTTCGTAATAGGCCATTAACTTCATCCACGTTTGATTTAGGAGGCATTTTGCCATATGAAGACACAGTGTATAGTAGACAACATTTTATTTAACACGTAAAAGACAATCAATGTTGACATTTCATGCGATTCCTGGATGTCTGTAGAGGTTATGTGTGTGTATAAATGTGTATTGGTTATATGTATGTGTATTTGGGTATATATTTGTGTATTTGGTATGCAAATACGTATATATTTATGCACTAAGAATGTGGAAATATGTAGTAACCTCTTTGTACTTTCAATATCGTACTGGCGATAGATGAGCTATAGTTCCTTAGCCGCGCCTCTAAACCTATAACCCACTCGTGGCTATGGCCTCCAGCCTATAGGAGGCCCTGGTGTATATCATATATACACCAGAGGCTGTGTATGAAGCATGCAGAGTAGACACCAGAAATACTTTTATCAGCGCCAGCGTTGTAAATAGTTTGTGCATGGTTTGTGTGTGTTTGTGGGTACAGGATTTATGCGTGCGTGTGTATTGGTTTCGTGTGTGCGAGTGATTAGGTTTTGCGTGCATAGGGTTTGTGAGCGTTTGTACAAAGTTTGCATGTTAGTGTATAGAGGGTTTGTGTATATAGAGTATGTGTGTGCGCGTGTACAGAATATGTGCGTATGTGGGTATAGGATGTGTGCGCTTGTGTGTAGAGGATATGTTTGTGTACGTGTCTACAGGATATGTTGGCGTGTGTATAGGATATGTTTGTGCGTGTGTATATAGAGTGTGTTTGTTGTGCGTGTGTTCGGGATAAGTGTGTGTGTGTGTACTTATCTAGTTACCTAGTTGTACTTAGTTGTGCTTGCGGGGGTTGAGCTCTGGCTCTTTGGTCCCGCCTCTCAACTGTCAATCAACTAATGTACAGGTTCCTGAGCCTACTGGGCTCTATCATATCTACATTTAAAGCTGTGTATGGAGTCAGTCTCCACCCCATTACTTCCTAATGCATTCCATTTGTCTCCTACTCTGACACTGAAAAAATTATTTCTAACGTTTCTATGACTCATTTGGGCACTCAATTTCAACCTGTGTCCCCTAGTGCGTGTGCTCCTTGTGTTAAAAAGTCTGTCTTTATCTACCCAATCAATTCCTCTGAGAATCTTGTATGTAGTGATCATGTCCCCTCTAACTCTTCTGTCTCCCAGTGACGTGAGGTTTAATTCCCGTAGTCTCTCCTCGTAGCTCATACCCCTCAGTTCGGGTACTAGTCTGGTGGCAAACCTTTGAATCTTTTTCAGTTTAGTCTTATGCTTGACTTGATATGAACTCCATGCTGGAGCCGCATACTCCAGGATTGGTCTGACATATGTGGTATATAATTTTCTGAAAGATTCCGCACACAAGTTTCTAAAGGCCGTTCTTATGTTAGCCAACCTGGCATATGCCGCTGACGTTATCGTCTTGATATGAGCTTCAGGGGACTATCATATCTACATTTAAAATTGTGTGTGTGTGTGTGTGTGTGTGTGTGTGTGCGTGCGTGCGTGCGTGCGTGTGTGTGTGTGTGTGTGTGTGTGTGTGTGTGTGTGTGTGTGTGTGTGTGTGTGTGTGTGTGTGTGTGTGTGTGTGTGTGTGTACAAAATATATGTGTATGCGAGTGTGTAGAGGATGTGTGTGTACTGACTAGTATTAAAAATATACATTGTTATTTTAAGCTACCAACGCATTTTCCAGCGCCTCAAACATTTTACCAAAACCGTTTGTTAAAACCACATACACAATATATGTTAATTTCTCATTTACAATTTAAAGCTAACATTTTCATATAATTTAAAAGCATTTATACCTGTATTTTCTTCTATAAATATATATGCAACATGATTTTTTTTGTTACTCGAAATTATGTATTTAGGTAATTGAAACCGTCCATTATTTTTTCAAAAACAATGAGTCTCCCCTAAAAAAATGTGTTTATCATTTTTTTTTTCCACTAGGGTTTCTGACAACCACTAGATGGCAGTGCGTAGTGAGGAGAAAAATGTTGCCATTTTGAACTCTGAGATAGGAAATGGGGTTCCCCATCTTGCCTAACAATAGAAATATGGAAGGGTAATGCGACGGACAACAGCACTTCTCCACCATCGCCGATCCCACCAAGTGGGAAGTGAAGTCCTCCTCTAGAGACCCTTGACGCTGTACAACTCCTCAGCGCTGTTGAGCAGAGCAGTCGACGGCTCACCGAGGTAAGGGACTTCGTGAGCCAGCTCCTAGCCAGGGCCATTTTTCTCTTTATATATATATTTGTTAATGAGTGATCCCGGGAAGAGGACGTCGGTCGGGGCCAGATTCATGAAGCGGATACGCAAGTACTTGCGAACGTGTACGTCTTTCCTCGACCTTCGACGGCTTTAGTTACATTTATTAAACGGTTTACAAGAATGAAAAGTTGCCAGTCAACTGTTACTATTATAAATAGCCTCCTGGTGCATCGGAGCTCATTAAATGTTTAATAATTGTAAAGAAAGCCGCCGAAGATTGAGAAAAGTACAGATTCGAAAGTGGTTACGTAACTGCTTCGTGAATCTGACCCCAGATGTCCTGGACCAGAGTTAATACCAGTTTGTTTTGCTGAAGTGGTTAGGATTTGTTAACCCATATTTTTATTTGTAATCTGTTTGCTACGCTTAGTCTAAAAAAAATCATAGTTTTGTAATTATTTTTGTTTTTGGAATAATACTTTTCTTCGCAGGCAGAACATAAAAAGTAATTGGCATCCCCGATGAGTACGTCTTTGTGAAGTATAATTGCATGCAGGACGTTAGATTCACGATGGTGGGAGAAGAGGGTTTACGTAAATTTCAGATTTCTCTTGAAAGTGTTTAAGTTATTACTACTTTGGTGTAAATGGAGAATATAACTGTTCAAATTTACTTTAGTCTTGTGACGGTGTAAGTCTCTTAAACAAAATGCAAAATGTTGAACACTTTAGGTTAAACATGGTTGAAGCGACACTGATTCTGACGTTGATTTCGTATATTTTAGGTCTAGTTATGGAAAAAAATCTAGGAAGTTAACCGTCTCTAGAATCTTTATTCGGTTACTCGTCAGAGAAAGTTCATTAATTTTGTCAAACAAACGGCACCGTTTATCAGAGCTATAGTAAACGGTACCTGACTGCCTACGGTGTTTACTTAAAGATTCTGCCACACCCTTTCCTAATTAGTTCTAGTTTCCGTTCAGAGAATGCCTAACTGCGTCATTGTTCTAGAGTTTGTAACCCAATAAACCCCTCACTGTTGCTATCGTGGCCAAAGCTCTAGTGTAAATGTTGGCCTGTTTGTTCTAAATGTTTTGATTTAGAAAAGTTCTCCCCTAAAACTAAAGGGGAAAAAAGTTGCATCCAGGCCCATCGGTGATTAGTCTGATGGACCTTCTGAAGTACCTAATTTCTTGCAACATAGTAACCTAGCCTAATGCCATTCCCCCCCCCCCCCTCCCCCGACAAGTTGTTAGGGTCGCACAATTGCCTCTGTCCAGCCACATTACACTTACAATGGCGTGTTGTAACTGGGAATGTACTTTCAAATGTCTTTCTGAAAGTTGCATGAATAATACTTTGACACTAGCCAGAATCTGAATACATCCTTAATTTTCCCTAAAACCATTGGTAAGGACACTTGCAGCTTCGTAAGATGTAGTGAACAATGCCTAATTTCCCTTTTATTGATGCCTTCCTTCAGGTGATGAAGACCGCAGTAGCGACGGTGACGCTACTGTGGGCCGCGGTGGTGTTGGCGCTGCCCAAGAAGGATCTAAAGCCCTCGGAGATCTTCTTGAAGAACCTGCCGACGGAAAAGGTGACTGAATACACTAAATAGGAGCAGAGTTGTTAGTTTTGGCTACTTGTCACAAAAGTTCAAAGCAGCACGGGCTATGGTGAGCCCGTCGTACTCGCCTGGCCCACGAGATTAGGGGGGGGGAGGGTGGCCATGAATGGGTTACCACAGACGCTGCCCAAATCTTCTTAAAACAAAAATGACGAAAATGATAATTTGCATTTTATTGGCTTTTATATTACTTCAACACTATCCAATGATATTGAATTAGCATGTTTTTTAGTTTTATGGCAAAGAACATCAGGGTGTTCGTAAGGCATGAATCCCTAGTGGCAGTTAGGGGCCGGGGGGGGAGGGGAAGGGGCCTATGGTTTGAGAATTCAGTCGCAGCACTTGTGCATGAAGCGCTTGGTACCGGATCAGTGGAGAGAACTTTACCTATTGCAGAGTTCTCTGAATGGTCATCGTAAGATATTATTAGTTCAGTGGTGTAGTACACGGAAATTCACAGCCGGCAAGAGATGGCCAGTCACTTATTAATTATCGGTTGTTTGGGAATTATAATGTACTGCTAGTATGGCGGTGCTACTGCGCCTCTTCCATTGTTAAATGACTTCCCATAATTTTTTTTTTTTTTTCGGGGGGGGGGGTAATGAGCGTGGTGCAGAAGTTTCTGTAGCTGCTATAGGTATGGAAAGCCTTCGCATGGCAAGTCTTGTCTTATTTAAAAGTTCAAAAGATTCGGCGCGTTCATAATACTGACAGTTTAAAGATAATCACTATGTAAACCATGAAGGGGCCTTATCGATGTGCCTGTATTCTGGTTGGTCTTTTCACAAAGACGTACGTAGTGTCGCTTCATAGTCCACCACACTTACACTAATTACGTTGTAACTAAAACGCTGGAGACTTGAAAAAAAAAAAATCCCATTCTCGTAGGCACGGAAAACTCTTAAATGAACGTTTTGAAACGGCCGCCCCTCCCACACCCACGTTAATTTAAGTAAACTAAAAATTGGTGGATCTAAGGTTGCCAGGGCGAATGAGAATTTCACTACTAAGAGTGCGCAGACTAAGTTTCCCAAAAAAGTCTGAAGTAGTGTGTTTTATAAACCCTTCCTGGAAGGTAAACGTGAACCATGTTGTCCTAGAGACTTGGACGATTAATTCAATGTCTGGAAAGTGGCCTGAAACGCGTTTAATAGTGTTATCCCTCTCGTAAGTCTTTACCTTAAAAAAAAAATTCAGAATCGCCCACCAAATGACTAGGGGTAGGGTGTGTTAACTGGCATCTCTAAATTGTTTTATTCCTCTTGCGGCTGTCAGTCTTGAAAGACTAAAGAAAACACTATCTAAAACCCATCAAAATCTTAAACGGTATTTCTTGTTTTCGAACGCTAGAAACGCTATAATTTGCGAAACTATAAAAGGATTTTTGGCTTGACAACTATATCTAGAAGAGATTTAATTATTTGAGGATTAAACTTAATGTCTGCCGCCCACACCAGTCATGATGCCAGCGAAACACTTTACCATAATAAAAGTGGAACTTAGATTAGTACTGGATAATAGGGTCCAGGTCAGTCGCTGGGACCAATTAGCCCATAAAAATACTAATAGTTAAACCAGTCAGTCGTTCGCCTGTCTCTGGCTTGTTTAACACCCCCCCCCCCCCCCTTTGTGCTGCTAGAAACTTTAGAAAAAAGTTTCTTTTTTTTTTTATATCTTGTGGAGAGTACGTTAAACTTTAACCATTGTATAGATGAAATGTAATAAACCTTTCCCATGTTCCTACCAGCTGGATGCTCTGATGGCGTCCCGCCTTCAGGAGCTCGAGGATGACATAGTAGAGAGCTACGACACCCAGCTACGGGAACACGAGGACAACCTAAAACGCCTTCACCGCCACCGGCGAGACGTGACGAGCCGCAACAAGACCATCACTACGAGGACCTACCATCATCACGCTCCCACCTACTGGCATTCCTACACCTATGATGCAGAGATTGGCAACCGGGAGAGTAAGTAGCCTGTGGCAGGGCAAGGGTTCGATGCTGTTGCTTTAGAGGTGAAGGGTGGGGGGGGAGATTTCTGGACAGTGTGTATTAACTGATATGAAATTAGTTATTAACTTAAGAATTAAGTCTACAAAATTAGAAATTTTATTCTAAAATTTAACGTTGCTGTATATTAGAGGCCCTCAAATTATGAGGCGCCTTTCTAAGAACAAACGCTCTTGCTTAAATTGTAAATTGGGTATAAAACGTTTACTATAGCTTAACAAAACTTGCTCCCCAGAACTGAACATTCTTGACATCGACGTGAAGGACCAGCTTGGTAATGTTAACATCATCAAAGTCTTCTCGCTCGATCTCTGGAACCTCTCTACCATCTACCAGGTGAGGCACTGTATCTACTTGGCAATTGAAGAAGTGGGTGGGTTCCTGGTCCTCTATTCTGGTACCAGGGAAGACCTCTCTTCTAAATGATGGGGTCGGTATTCTAACAGCAGTAACACTAAGCTGTTAACAAATTTCCTTTTCCACACGGACATGAATATATTCGGGTTTTGTTATAACCTTTTTATTCGCAGAGCGAATCGCATGTTGCGTACGTCTTGAAGGGAGGGAGATTGGAGGCTGTGAAGGTCAGGAATCGGTGGACCAAGTCTCTGGTGGGTTGTCCCTGTGACCAACAATACTTGAAGGCAAGTAACCATAACTGTTTAAAAAATGCAACAAAAGATTAATGGGGCTTAAGACAGACTTGCTTGAAAATGTTAACAGGCTCAGAAGATTAATTGGTTGCCTCTTATCATTCATCGGATATGGTTTTAAGATGTGTTTATTAAATAGGGGGTGACAGATCCGACCCAGTCCCCCCCCCCCCCCCCCCCCCCCCCCCATACACGCACACCACCCTAGTCTCGCTTGTCCTCCCATCTCTCTACCATCTTCACGCCCTCAATCTTCCCTCCACCTTTGCCCGTTTTTTACCAATGTAACGATTTCCTTCACAACATAAATCACGGAAACAAAGTTTGTCCCCTAAATACATATGAGTAAAAGATTTAAATGTCTGGTAGCTAAATAGACTTTAAAAAAAAAAAATCGAGTCTACGAACTCTGATCAGGATATCTCGCATCCACCATTCTGTGAAGGATAGAGGCAACTTTCCCATGGAGAAAACAAAGCGTCGACGCCACTGTTAATATCTTTAATCTTGCAAAAAATCCAATGAAGATAGCCCAAAGTTTGTAGAATATGCCCTATTCTATATCATACACCATGGCCAGGTACCAAAGTCTTGGAATAAAGGAAACAAATTAGTATACTAAGCTATCAAAAGCTTGTATTAAGTCAAACTTACGGGCTATTAATGCCCGTGCCACCTCTTGGATGACCTAATCAGTCACCTGGCAAGAAACTTACGGGCTCGTCATAGCCCGTGCTACATGGACACTTAATTTGTCTTTTTAGATTTAGCTGCTCTAATCTGGCGAGTCAACATTAAGAGGTGTTACAGATGCTTTCTACCACAGAGTTGTGCCTGCTGTGAGGAGGGAGCCTGCAGGTGTGGGGCGGCGAGCGACACCTGTGTACAGTGCGGCCTGGAGAACGACCTTAACATCTGTGCTGCTAACGGTGGGTTGCCACTTTAAGAACCCTTTTCCCCCCCACCCCTCCCCCTGGTCCTTCCTAACATTGCCATAGGCTTTTTAACACTTCCAGGGCACTTTAGGACTTCCTCGGTCTCTACATAAATTTCATCCAAATTTTTCTTCCAAAACTATTGATTGACGGCAGATATATTTAAACCGATAACGGTTATCCAGTAAATACGGTAATTGCCTACCAAGTGATCGTGTTTCTAGTAGTTTAGTTTCTTGTTTAATGGACTTGCTTAATTTCTCTTCTGCCTTATGAAATGAAAGATACATACGGTGCCAAATGTGACTGTTAAAGCCTATAAAGACTTTAGAGCTTAAGCGTAATCTGTAATTAGTTTCACTTGACAAAGACGATGGAACAATTTACATTGCTTAAAGGTTAGATTCTGCCCGTGGTAGAAATAAAAGTAACGTGCTTCTATAAAACCCAGCCTCTCATTGATTAAAACGAAACTGAACGTACTGCTGAAGGAATCTTAATTCGGGTATTCGGAAGATGAGCACATTCATAAAAATGATTAGTCTCGCTTTCTTAATGTAAACTTGGTTGGTAAATTTAATACTGTGAAGAACGGGCCATTCGAAGATGAATGACAACTCTATGCCATTTTTAAGCCATAGCTCCTGGATCTTGGTAATTTTTTCACTCTTCTCTACTTAAGGTCCTAGAGAGCTTGAGCTGGACGCGGCGGTTGGGTTCCAGTACTACCTCGATTATTACGACCTCGTTCAGGGCGTACAGCGCGTCCTTGTTGCCTCCAGAGGCACAACTGTTTCGTTCTACAAGTTTGTAAGTATTCTTCGAAGCTCGTACGGAGAAAAATACGTACATGCGAATTTTAAATAAAAAATTAAATTCCTAAATGTTTAATTTGGATTTATCTGGACCACATCTTGCCTAATAGGAACTGTTTTCTTAAATATGATTGGTGTTCTAAACCCTTAAGCCTCTTCTTTCTCGTCCTCAATTCTCCTGCCCAGAACAAAGACAGTGTCCAGCTGATGCAGTCGGAGACGGGTCTGGGGACTATAAACTTTGCCAGGCCTGTGACTCACCTGGGATACGGAGAGACCTTCAAAGACTTCTACGGAATCATAAGGAAAGACCGGTTCCTCATCACCTTCAGAGCTGGTGACTCGAGCCAGCAGTTTCACGGCATAAATATAGACTCGACTGGTTTGGCAAGTGGGTAAGTGGTAGAGATTTACATTAGAGCTAAAACTAGTTAAAAGTAGGAATATCTTGGTCACAAAATTCCTGCAGGCGTGTAGGGAAAATCGGTGATGCTTGGTTGTAAGATGTGCATAGGCTTAAGTGCCTCAAATTTGTTTTTCTCTCGTAATTTCAAAAGTCTGACAAAATTGACCTAGATAATGATTAGTTAAGATTCCTTCAAGGCTTGAAACTGGTTCCAAAGATAAATTTAGTGGTGAACAGAACACAACTTTTCGTGTTGCAGAACATCAGAAGTGTGGCAGGCCTTTGGGACCGAGATGAAGGCGTGGCAAAGTGGCGGTCGTGTTATGCTGGCTGTCCTCAATGGGATGGACCTCTTCGTCTACGAGCTCAAGGTCAGGCCTCTGGCTAGTAGATAAAGTAACCCCCAACCCTCGGTAATAATGCCTAGGGCCTCTAAATCTTGGGTTTCTTGCCTAAACAGTTAAATATCCTCTTGAATGTTACAAAAATCGGCTCTATGCATTCCCGTATGAACATTAAAATTTAAGGAATACTGGAAAAACTAGTTGCTGAATAGAAAGTTTTCAAAAAGGCTTAAACCTGCAGAAAATGTTACTCTTAAAGCACTCAAAGGGTCATAAACAATCTCTCCTTTCTGTGGCAGGCCAACCACAGGCACGAGTACCGTATGAGGAAAATTCAAACGCTGAGCATTGGGGAACCCATAATCTACTGGAAGAGCTTCTGCATGGGGTTTGAGAAGTACCTGGTGGTGGTGACCCGGAAGATTTCCCGCCTTTACCTACACTCTGGCATGCACTATCAAACCGTCCAAGACCTTACTCCAAGCCACGGTCTAACGGCCTTTACAGCCATCGTTCCCATCTCTGTAAGACGTTAAGTTTGTGTGCGTTTCTACACATTCAGGTACAAGATCTGATTCTTGTACCTGAATGTTTCTAGGGCTTTAGATTTTTTCCTCCCCTTGAGAAAAACTCTTAGGCGTAATATTTTCCTGTCGTACATTTTTTCAAGAATTTATATGAAGGTATCTAAACGTAGAACCATCACTACCACTTTCTTCAAATGGTTTCAAATGTTAACATGGTCTCTACCCAAATGTTAGTGATCGTGACTCACTCCTATGAAGCTAAGTGTTATTGGGTTCAAATTTAAGTCTTTAATACCTGAAAGTTTTAAGATTGCACAAGTAACTTTTAATGTCAATGTAGCCATGGCGCGAGTATAAAAATCTGCAGGAAAAAGTCTAGAGCACGGGATGGTCAAAGGCCTTCCACTAACCCACATGACTTTAATGCATAGACAAAAAATCTATAACCCAGCATCCCTTCTCCCCTTGTACTATTTTCGAAGTCTGAAATTAGATGCTCGAGGTATTTCTCTAAAGTTAAAGATACACAGCCTTCCTGGCTCTGTGGTGCCTTGTTATTACTCTTGCTTATTTGCTTTCAGATGCATTGGCTATTAATCCTGACACTAGGTAAATTATTTGGGAAGTTTGTCTGTCGGCGAGTTAAAAACTCTCCCGCCAACTCTCTCCCTGTGATGCATTGCTGGGAGTGGCCTTGAAGGCGGTAGAGAATGCTTGACAAAGAATGATTTATGGAACTGCTGCTATGATCACAGAAACGTGATTTCCCAATACCCCCTTCAGATGCTTTAGCTCGGTCCTCCTAGCTCATTGACTAAGGTGTCAAGTTAGTGGGGGTCCGGGGGGAAAGGTTCTTGGGTATGACCAGATGCCCTCTTCGCTGAGCTTGCATCTTTCCCCAGATATCTTCGTGGCGGGGGAAGGCCGTGCTGTTGACGGGGGAAGGAAAACGGCTGTTGGCTTACGTGTGGAATGGCGCGAAGCTTGTGGTTGAAGTGGTAAGCAACTAGTGAAATCTCTTGTAATTTTTCAGTGGTTCTTAATACTTTGGATAGCTGATAATGTATACTAAATGCGCAATACCAAATTTTTGAGTATGGAGAGTAAAAATGATTCATGCATATTACAAAGAAATATTGCTCTTTCAGAGTCACGTAAAAATGTTGAATGTGTCCATCACTGACTGGTCGATCGTGTACGGGCACGCAGATATGAAGTTGGACTCTAACCTTGTAAGTATTTTAACCCATATAGACACTTCATATTATACTTGAATTTAGTAATCTACAAATAACTCTAAAATTCCTATGACGAACGAATAATGCGAATTATTCAAATGTCATAATGCTCTTGATAACAGACTTTGCCCTGACACCTTAAAATGGCCCACAGGTGTTTGTTCCCACCGAGAAGGGCCCGATGAGGCTAGAGGTGAAGGCCACACTAGAGGATCTGCCCGACCCGATTCTCCTCCAGAATCAGGAGCTTCACCAATTGCTCAACACCCTGGAGGTTAGTTAAGAGTTAATGGTTTGAAGCTGTAGAGCGGTTTGTACCCCCGTCCCCCTCCCTTCCTCCCCCCCCTATCCCTTCTCTTCCTCTTGCAATGCGAGTCTTGGCAAAAATTGTTGGTGCGAAATTTTGCACGTAAAAATTGTAATTGAATGGTTGAGGCCCTTCAGCCAATGGCATGACGTGCAACTGGTAGAGGTGTAAACGAGCAAAACAGGGGTAAGTGTTAACTTGAACACTTAACTGGTAATTTAAAGACTCTAAAAGTATTTCCTTAACCTAATACGTTGTTGAACAAGACTAATATTCAGTGTCGCCTATTTAGTGAAATTGGTTTTCAATGAAAGACGTTAATCCGTAGTAATATTGGAAATATGGTGATCTGGAGTTTACTTAACAGTATTTACTTACTAGTCTGCTGAATAGCTCTTGGATCCCGGCTCATTATTTGTTTTTTTTTAACCATTATATCTACACGTGTATCTCGCACACGTACGCACGCGAGAACCAGCCCGTAGCAGCTGCCTAACTCCTTGGTACCCATTTACTGCCAGAACAGGAGCATCCGGACGAAAGAAATTCGGCTAGTTTCTTTCCGTCTCCGACGGAAATCTAACCCAACCTCTTCAGACTAAGACGCCAATGCGCTGTCCACTCGGCCTCTAGGCCCGCACATATACCTAGAAGTTGACTGCTGTGGGTTACATCTTTGGGAAGTCAGTCTGTGGTCTAAGACCGACAAAGGGCACCCCCTCCCTTTCCCAAGAACACGGGGGGGGGGGGGGGGGGGGGGGGGAACCATATAGATAAAAATTTAGCCCAATACTTGCTCCCGTAGAACAGTCGGTCCACAAATGTGACCTACTGAAAGTGGCGGTAATCATTATTCCCATCTGTTTTGCAGGGCGAATTTCAACGTCAGTCAGAAATTATAGACTTGGCTCGAGACAGACTGGCCCACAGCATTGAGGGACAGAATACCATCAATGCGGATATTGTAGTAGTCGGCGGAATCGTGGTTAACGGGGTAAGTGTTACACTTTCATGAAAGCATTAGACATGGTTAATGCTCGTGTGAACGTAGTATTTCTAGTGTTGGCGATTGCGTGCTTGGACGATGTGGATGGTGTTGACGAGCCATGACATGTTCTTAGGGCTGCTAAGAATATCATGTTAATGTGCCAAAGTCCTATATTTTGATTATCTGCAGTAGACCGCATTGTAAATTTCTCCTAAGAAATTAAATTAGTGCTGAATAGCTGGCTATTCCAGCTTTGGAATTTTGCCCTTTTGAATGCCACAATATTCACATTTTTTAATACATTTGCAAGGAAGGATTTCTACATTGTAGGAACAATAGATCTTTTCTGGCCCGGAACTTTAATTTTATGCTGCCTTTTCATACTTTCAAAGCGACGACATGGCAATAGTTAGGCAGTCTGTGTCTCTAGCAGAAATTTAACCATTTTTTATAGCCATGGAATTTTGTTATAAAATTATATTGGAGATTCTTGAAGGTTTTATGAAACTTCCTTCTATATTTGTTGGTATTAAACACTCGGCATTCTCTTCAAGCTAAAGATACTAGTTGGCAAATATTCTTAATCCTTGCTGTGCCTTTTGCTAATATTTTAAACCTTTTAAGAAAATGGTAAAATAGTTTGCACAAATTAATATTAATAGGGTATAGTTTATAAATGGTGGTGGTGATGATGGTTAACTTTTACAGCCCTTAACACGCGTAACGGAAACTGGTTTGGTGTATACATAACGGATCTAATCTTCCAGACTCTTGACACGTGGAATCTGGAAGCAAACAGCATAATACTGCAACAAATTGACTCCAGCGGGAAGGTGACATTCCAGGGATACCAGGACCACCTCAACAGCCTTGGTTACTACGAAGGTGTCTTAAACACACTCAACGCAACGTTAACAAGCCTTCACAGGAAACTAGATGGTGAGACAATTGTATGGACTTCGTTAAAGTAAGATACTGTGAAAATCTGTCTACGGTGTGGGTACATTTTAGCCCAAGAAGCCTTGTATTGGACTTAAACATTGAATTTGGTAATTGTTCGTATTTTGGATTTTAAGATGGATATAGGGAGTAAATTAACGAAGGGTGGATTTCACTCTTGGTTCGTAGACACTCTGCCATTCACTTTCCCTGAATTCTCATCTTGTATTCATCCCCCTCTTTCCTTCACCGTGGAAGATTGAAGATTTAGCGAATTGAGATGTTTTTTATAACTGGTCTGTTGCAGATGCTGTGCCCGCTTCTGGTACGTCCAGACTGATCACTGGGGTGAAGACGCTGGTGGGCGAGGGGCTGCAGGTCGCCACCTTGTCCACCGACCACCTCACCGTCAGGCAAACTCTCGACTGGTCTGGTAACTTGTTCCCTCTGGACGACATCCTTAGAGGGCTGGTCAGGTAGGTTGAAAAGGAACCGCTTTGACAATCTTCGTAGATCTTTTAGTGATTAACGTTTACTCAGACTTGAAATATTTTAAATGGGGAAAGTTATTGTGGGAGATAGTTACGTAGGTTTGAATAAGGTTTTATACTTAGGTTTACAAAAGTATGTTGTGGGGAGAATTTTTTATATAATGCTTAATCGTGAACCTCCAGGCAAAATGACACACGCGTCATCGCTGGTCAGAAGACTTTCCTGAAGGATCTTAAGGTTGTTGATCTTTATGCGGAATACTTGGATGACATCCCCGTGGACGATATTGTGACCACAGATGGGTCGCAAACCATCGCCGGCGCCTCCTTCGCCTCCGGCCTGAGAGCAGAGACTATCCATGTCACTCCCGGAGGGACTGTGGGAGGGATAGACCTGTCTGAGGACGCGGTGCTGCTGTCTGGCGAAGCTACGCTCGGTAAGTATTCGACGTATATCTAGAAGAGACTGTGTCATTCACTAAAAGTTTTGAGTTTAAATTTTTTTTCTTGTAATCTCAAAGTAACAATTGGTTTTTAACCCAAAGAGCACGTTCGGTTTCGTCTGCTTAGGGTTTTTCCAGAAATTTCACTGTTATCTGATGCATCTAATGCTGGAATATTTTCTAGAGTAGGTTGTAGTAATCTGGGGGAGTGGGGAAGGTTTGTCCCCCTGCCAAAGGCCATTAGAGACGGATAATTACCGCCTCGTTCAGCGTGTCACTGAAGGACTTTTGATATCCAGCTATGAGTGCTTCATGGTGGGGGGGGGGGGGAGGGGGTAGGGTTTGAGAGGCACACCCCCATATAAATAGCAAGAGTGACACTATTTTTCTGTTGTGCCCATGCTGTGTACATTTTTATACCGTCTAAAATTTTTGTAAATTCTCTCGTACACGGTAATTCTCTAGCCCACATGCGTACCATTTAGGCCCACTGTGGTGGGGGGGGATGGTAGTCTGCCTCGTTAGGTAAAATATATGGCACACCAGACTAATGTTATTGGGAGAACCTTTGCAAAAGCTTAGTGATATTGTGGTATTTGATGTACTGACCACGGCAGCATCCACTCAAAATTCTAAAACGCTACTCGGTTTCATGGCACGTATCCAAAATTAGTTGGCTATTAATTTAAACACCTTCAATGATCTTGTTCCTGTTAACGAAGGTTGAAAATGTCCTGGTTTTTCCGCATGTTCTAGGGTCCTTAGATCAAACTCTACCTGACCTAAGAGTTCTTAAATGTAATAAATGAGAACGTTGATAAGTCAATTTGATGCTATTAACTGGGAATTTTTTACCTTCATATATTTGACCACACTGAGCTACATAGCTCATGTTAATCTCGTATCGTGGAGTTTTACTGCAAACTTATGCAGGCGATGAGTCGCAATAACGTGGCTGAAGTATGTTGACCAGACCACACACGAAGTTGAAGGGACGACGACGTTTCGGTCCGTCCTGGACCATTCTCAAGTAGATTGAGAATGACGATCGAATGACGAGATTGACAATAGACTTGAGAATGGTCCAGGACGGACCGAAACGTCGTCGTCCCTTCAACTTCGTGTGTGGTCTGGTCAACTGCAAACTTATTTGCTTTCTTTTTGATGCTGCTTGTCCATGTTGGCGGCGTTAATTATCCTCTTGTATTCGGGTGTCATTTCCTCGAAAGATTAGTGTGAGAGCTAGATGGCTTGCTTCCTCTTCAGGCGACCTCCGTAACTAGGTTATCCATATTTTCTCATAGTTGTATCCTAGTTATACCAGTTGGTAACTCTTCCCCCCTCCCCCTCTCCTTATCGTAACATGAAGGACCAGGTTTAAGTACGATGCTTAACTGTCCAACAGTCTGTTGTTGAAGCCGTCTAACTTGCGGTTACCACAACCTAAGGTTCAGTTGAAAGTTTGATTTTTCAGACTTTAAACTAAAAATAGGCAACGAAATTTTCTTCTGAATAATCTAATTTGCCAGATATCTTGGCTTTGTTAATCTTAGTCTTGCTACTTAAACTAGTAGCACTTCTTAGTGTAAATGATAAATATAAGTTTCGTAATACCTAAGTGGAATAATATTAGTTATTGCGGTCTGACGTTTATGATGGCCTAGATTCTCAAATCGGCCCCATCCACTATTAGGCTTGTCATGATACCAAGCTAATTTATTCCACGTCTGTTTTATAGATTATAAAATACTTAAAATCGCATCTTAATTCTGAGGTTTCGTCATCTCTGCAGGCAGCTGTACCTTCAAGAGCGATCTCTCGGCCAGTGATATTGTGGCAGTGTCGAAATTCGTGGATGGTGTCGACCTAGACCGGTTGAATACCAGCGCTCTGACCACCTCGGGCGGCACAGTCAAGAGCTCTCTAGTGTTCTCAAACTCCCTGACCCTCCACACCCTCCAGGCTCGCTTCATTATGGGGGTCGACACCGATCTTTTCATGTCCACGACGGTTTTCAAGCACAGGACTTCCGCTATGCGTGGAACTCTAGTGATTCCTTCGGGTGTCGACATAAATGGAGACTTGGTCGTTGAAGGAAAGATTAATGGCCAAAATTTCCCGAAAGATTTTCCCCTACAGACTGACTCCACCATAAATTTTGGGGCAAAGAGATTCGCTAATGTTTTCTTTGATACATTGCGAGTCGGTACCCAGTGTTTGGTGGACGGACTTTCCCTGCACAAGTTGGTTACTCTTCACACCCCACAGACCATCACTGGCCAAAAGACCTTTGCTCAGGGCGTATACATAAAAGGAGATTTGGACATTACGTCGAAAATAATTGATGGCGTTAACTTGGACGAGTTAAATGCTAGTCTTTCTTACATTGGATCTTCGGAATGGGAATTCGACGTGGTATTTAATAAAGCCGTACAAGCACCTTCCCTGTCATTTGGCGGGAGACTTAATAACTTGGACTGGGCAACTTTCGCCAGAGATATAGTGTATGACGACGAGACTTCAGTCGTCATCGCCTCGAAAAAGAATTTTAAACTTGGATTGACCATCTCGAACGCAATCTTCCAGAATACTTTCAACGGAGTTAGTTTTGGTAGCCTGGTCACGCTCAGCAGTACCCAAAACATCTATGGGAAGAAAGTTTTTGCCAACGACGTCACCTTCGGATCACTGACGGTAGATTTACTAGACGGAGTAGATTTGGAACAGTTAGCGCGCACTGCAGTATATTTGAACAAGGAAGGGCAAGTGGTGACTGGCAAGAAAACTTTCACCAGTTTGCTAACCACCAAAGCCCTGGACGTAACGGGAAGAATAGAGAATTTTGACATAAGAAACTTGGTTACTAAAAACACCGATCAAACCTTCACGGCAGCGCAGTCCTTCCGTTCAGTGGTCTTCAGTGACTTGCAGGCTGTATCCATAGACCTGCCTGCAGGGTATACTATTAACACTATAGATATAGCTAACTTGGAAAAATCTCGTGTTAGCTTGACGTCTCCAAGCGTCCATTCCGGCGTACTAACGGTCCAAGGTCCAGTGACTGTACTAGGCCAGCTCTCTGTGGACACTATAAATGGTTACGACATAAACTTGATCATGAACAACTTGGTCATGAAGGATGAATCTTCAGTCATAACAGGAGATATAACCTTCGTCGATCTCACCGTGCAAGGGCCCATAACGACTCTCGATCTGGCCGGAGCTAATGGCTTGAACATCAGTAGCATCGATCACAATGCCGTTAAGGTAACTGGGAACGTAGAGATGAGCGGAGCCGTGACCTGGGGACCCGTGGTCTTGCAGAGAGACGTATCCGTGGAAGGTCTCGTGAACGGAATCCCCCTGTTTAATCTCAGCCAAGATGTTGTCTACAGGGATGCTAAGAATCTACAAGTTATAACAGGCAAGTCTGAGAGTTCTGAAGCCCAATAATAAACTTTTAAAGTCAGAAAAATGAGTATTTTGGTAAATGGTAGCACTAGTCTATAACTTAATCTCAAACTTTGCTTAGTTTGACTTCTTGTCCGTTCAGTAGTTTAGATATAGTCTGAACCGTTAAAATATCCAAAGATATTAACAGCAGCCTCTGTTGCTTTTCCAGGGAAAAAGACCTTCGAAGCGGGAATAACCGTGAATGGGGATATAGTGACCACTTCAGTCAACGACATAGACCTTGGCACAAGGATGTTGACTCGTCACACCGTTCAGACCATCAGCGCCCCTTACACGTTCTTTAACGTAGAGGCTCGCGGCACCGTTAACATCCTTGGCCTTTACAACAACATTAATCTTACCCAACTGGCATCAGAAGGCCGCCTGGGAGCCAATGATACCATCTACGGTAAGGAACTAAAGTCACATAATACGTAACTGAGAAATTGTAAATGTCACAATTTGTAGTTTATTTTTTTCCACAACTGTAAATTTAATACTACCGAATGCAGACAGCATTGTACAGAAATTTGTGTATGAACTTGACAATTTGGAATATCTTAACGCAGATTCTATTAAAGAGCCTTTCTTCCCACGAAGGCTCTAAGCCTAGTCGTCCCTTACCTTGTGGTTACCTTTCGATGATTCAGGGTGTTAGTCCCCGCGGAACGGTTCCCCACAGGTCTAGATATTGCCAGTTATGCTGACTAAAGGCTATTAGATTTTGTATTAGCTATTGCATAGGTTTTAAAATAGTTTAACCATTGTGTATTCAAAATGAAGAAAGACTGGGGTGAACTTTATAGTTTAACAGGGCAGTGCCGACAGCAACGAAAAAATTTACCAAAATCTCAGTCTCTTGAAATTATTCCGTCAAACTCTTCAATCTGTTTACCGTGGGGACTTGAGGTAACGGACAATAGTCTGTATTTTAATGTACTTTGACTTGACAAAATTGTAACTTTGTATGATTTGTTTATTGAATTTAAATATATCGTGGGAGGTGGTATTCCGCTTCAACTATTGGTACTCCTCGCTATTTAGCATTTAACTTGACAAATATTAAATATGGTAATCATATTAAAGGAAACGTCACGTTCCTGAGAGAAGCGAGCGTGGGCAACCTGGTCATTCGGGGCACCTTCAACGGTGTGGACGTGGAGAGGCGCATGGCCGACGCTGTGTTGGTGCGTGACCCTGGTGTTATCTCGGGAAGGAAGACCCTTCTGGCCAACATGACCACCTTCACGAACCTGCGCGTGAACTCCCTTAACAAGGTCCCCTTGGACTTCTACCTGAAACACGTCGTCCTGAAGAACGCTACCACCACAATCGACCACAAGATCGTGGTACAAGGGAGTGTAACTACCCCGAGTCTGACTGCTGATACACTGATTGTCCAGGTACGTAATTTCCTTTTTGATTTCGATATTTCTTGGTTTCATATCTCGGTAAATTCTGCTCTTGTTATTGTGGTTTATTTGTTCAAGTTTTCAACGAGGAGAATTTGCAATTTTCAAGTAAAGACAAATTTATTTTCCTTGTAGGGTACAGTTGATGGCATAGACTACAACAAATTTTTGAGCGAGGCAGTTTATCTGCACAAGAACCAGACCATAGACTCCACTTTGGTAAGAAATAATACCGTATTAATATCGTGTTAATACAAAGCCGTGTTACCGAAGTAATACCGTATTAAACAAACCCGTGTTTCACTCTTCTACAGTACATTTCATAGCTCTTTTTGTCCTACGACAGTGTAGTGCAGTACTGATCATGATTTTTATCAGAAACATGCAGAGAAATGTGCAACTATTCCAACTAAAGCTCTTTAACATGACACTTCTCAGGTCTTCATGAGAGATGTGACGGTTCATGGGGATATAAATACTGTACATCTAAACGGAATGAATCTTGAGAAGGATTTCCTGACTACGGACACGGAGCAAACCATTCCCTTCAGCGTCACCTTCGGCAGCATAGAGAGTGGAGACGTGGCTGTAGGAGGCCGCGTTAACTCTTGGTACCTTCCCGACGAGGTTAACGTTACCATGAAGGTGGGTTAGGGAGAGGGAAGGACATGGTAACAGGGCTAAAAATAAAATGTAAACTTGATTAGTTTCAGATGTTGGCAGCTCTGTGGTAGACTTTGTAAATATGAAGAAATGAAGCTACCGAAGACCTACTAAACAAAGCGTGGTGACTTTAGTTGATCCTCGACTAAATTCGTGTGGAACCTGATGCAGTGAATGTTCCCGGGAGTTTATTCCAAATTTCAAAGCTAGTGTTTATTTTTTATACTTGTCCAATTGTTCTCCAGTTTGGGTTATTCAACACTGGATATTTAAATACTGTGCATATTTAAATGCTGTCCTTTATTCCCATTCATAAATATCTAAAATGTGTAGCAAATACATAATGGTTGGAAGGTAAATATGTGCTATATCTAGGGAGAGAAGGTTGGGGGGGGGGGGGCGGGGTTGTTTATGATGAGATTAGCATTATTTGAAGTTAAAGACGAACTACTGAAAGTACTTTGATCACCTAAATGCTAATATTCCCTTTTTTACCCATTAAACCATTCACCCTTAAACTACTATAAAACCTGGACTGTAACAAATGGCCGTGTACTCCAGGCGGTGGGTGGCCAGACGGTGACTGGAAGGCTGACGATAGGGGGCACGCTGGAGGTCCTCGGGGACGTGACCGTGTCCGGACTGGTCGGGACGGAGGTCAAAGTGGACCTCTCGAAGCAGGCAGTCCAGCTCCACCGTAACACTGAAATCTACGGTAAAAAAAGAGGAAACAATTTGGGTTTAAAGGACCGATACATATTCCAAAGCCACCCCACTTTGCTTTATATAATTTATCCATTTTGGTCGAGCAGATATCTTAAATGTTTTCAACATGCTATTGGAATATTAAATTGCCCCCAATGGCATCTTGTACTAACTAAAAGTTCTAGGCTAGATTAAATGTACTAAATAAAAGTTGCTATTCACTTGGATAAGAATCTTTTCTGCCAACTGAGTTCTCGTAGGTAAAGGTTGTGATCCCTGTTTCTTGGCTGCTATTTAGGATCTTTGACGTTCACCTCACCGGTGACCGCGTCGACGCTGACCTGCGTACCTGGGATAGTGAATGATATAAACATCCCTGAACTCTTCGCTAACGCCTGGTACATCGACAAAGCCACAGACATCACTGGCTTCATGATCTTCGAAGGACCCGTACTGATGATGGTGGGTTTACTCCGACTAGGTATTTTACAAATACATTTTCCTATTGTCTGACTAGTTATTAGATTTGTTTTCACCTTGTGTGTAAATATTTAAGGGAACTTTCCAGACTTGACCGGATAACTGGGCAGGTGCACTTCTTGCGTTCTGAATTTGTAAATTGCTCGTAGCTATTCCTGTTGAGATGGTTCTAACTCTCCTGGTCATAACTATAACCAGGAGGCTCTGCTTCGCAACGCCACTCTGCCCTCCGTGAAGCTCATAGACCTGGAAAAGACCGTGACGAATATTCTAGCTGACTTCAACAGGACAAAATTGGAATTGGAGGTTAGTTGGTTTGTAGTTCTTGTAAAATGTTCATTAATGTTTTGAAAAGCTTTATGTAACCACAACCACCTTGGAATGCAATTATGAATAATGACTCCTTTATCCCCCGCCTCCCCCCCCAAAAAAAATTGAAAATGTCCAAAATTATATATACATTTATATAATATAATGTATATATGCATGTTAATAGTTTAATTACAAATGACAGATTAATACCGTGAATGGTTCAACATATATGGGTAAGTTTTTGTAGAAAGGTTTACTTTCTACAGATTAAGATGGTAACATTGGTGCAATAAAGTTTAGACTAGATTCGTTAAGGAGTAAATAGTTTGAGCAAATGTGAGCTGGGAAAGAACGTTCCCAGCAAGTAAAGATTAAAAGTGATACAGGTATGTAAGCTTCTTTGATGTACCAAACTGTTTACAGACTAGTCTATGCAGGAAAGTTTAGTATTGATTGATATTTAAACTATAGGAAAAAAGTTTTTTGTAAGTTACATAAATTGCACTAAATCTTTGAACACTTGTATTAAAAAAATCGTCTTAAGGGTTTAAGAAGCTGAGAAGTTTAGCTAATGTACAATAGTCTAAACCATGCCGTAACTCAACATGACCAGAAACGGGTACTAGAGCCTCTTTAGAGTTGAAATACTAATTTCAAAGTTAGTTCAGCATTATAAACTAAATGCATCTTGGAGTGGCCATAGTAGGAAGTTGCCCTAAAAATTTTACCCTTTTTTTTTTTTTTTTAATTGTACCTACAGGGGAAATAAAGGTAAAATGTTCTGGGTAAAGTGTACCACAAACTAGCAGAAAAGCTAGTAACATAGCTTAATTTAAAGACTCATTTCAATGTAATATAAAACTCATAAGATTGATAAAATTCCATGACTAGTTGAGAATCGCTTCTTTCCCGCACCTACTTTTCTCAGGCGCTCTACAAGAGTGCTTGTTCGCCGGTCATTAGACTTTACAGCCACCTGGAGAGGGCCATCTTCGAGGGGGACCATTTCGCTTCGGTCTTCGAGTATCCAGTTCCCTATCACCGGCGCTCCTCCACGTCCTTCCTGGTGAGTAACTTTCTTCCCCTGCACCCTCCCAGTCTCGATCCAGATTTAGATATACTTTAATGAATGACTCCTATATATATATTTTTTCTAAAATGTATAAGCTTGAAGAAAACGGAGTCTTAATTTGTCAATAATACAGGAGAAAGTATGAGAAAATTAAATGTCAAAAGGATAGAGAAGCTTAGGCTATTTCTACCCTCTTACAACTGCGTTATACAGTTTAGCAGAGCAGTCAGAGGCTTGGAGCCCCACACGGGGAAAAATCCCTGGGTAGGGACTTTCTATGACGATAACTAAAAGTAAATTGGCTTCAAAAATAAATTTTTCCCCAGTATGCAGATAGCAAATTTATCATTACTTTGTTAAATGTAATCTTGTAAACTCAGATTTAGATCTAGAGGCTAATTAAACTGGTAGAACTAACACATTGCTGATGTTCTTGTGAAGGTCCAGGGAGAATCATTCGTAGTGATGAGTTGGGAAGCGGGAAGGTGCGACTCTGCGCTATACAAGTTCATACCAGCGACAACTTCAATGGATCGCGTAAAGACCATTATCGGATCTGGCTACGCCCACCAGTGGCTCTTCCTCGGCGGCACGGAGAAACGGGTGAGGCCCGGGCACCAACCACAGTTGTAGGGAAGGGCATTAAAACTTGTAGAATAGTTCAGATTCTCAAGATTTATAAGCCTTCCCGGTTTGGTGCCTTCTTTTGATAATACTTAAGATTTATAAACCTCTCTGGCGGAGGAAACTTCGGAACGGTTGTTAAAGATTTTGGTTTTCTTAAATGTTGAACCGTTTCAGGTGTTCCTGGCGATGGCTGCATCAGACCGTAACAACAGCTGTAAGAGGACGAATAGCGCCATATGGAGTGTCACGGAAAACGCCTTCAGAGTGAGTATCTATTAAGCGAGACTAGCATGTTCTTAACCTAAATGAAAGCGGCTATGAAAATTTACTGAACGTCCTTTTTAAAGTAACTGAAGGAGCACTGTCGAAGTAGGAGGGAGAAGACAGTAGTAGTCTTTTGACGCAAAGAAATATGGTGGCAGTCGGTGCAATGTTCCAATAAACAATACTTGACTCGTAGGTACACCACGAGCTGGCTCCTGGGGAGAGTCTGTCTCAAATCTCCAGAGGAAGTGAAGTGATGGTCTTCGTGCACGGCAGTGATGGGTCTGTGGTCTACACCCTCGACCTCTCCATCGGGACGGTGAAGCAGTTTACACACCTCCCTGACATAATTGGTAAGAGCTATTTTGAAGTTATAAAGGGCAAATATAAAGCTTCGTTTCCATGATTAATTTGATTAAAGGTAACTTGTAAAGATACTATGGATGAGTTATGAACTCTAATCATTTTACTAGTGATGAACGACATTAAGGAATTTAAAAGCACGTTCATTGGTTTGGGTGCTGTAACACAGATAAAACGGTAATAAATATTGGACGCGACTATTAGCGTCGTGGTAGTAGGTCCACTTACCGACAAGTCTTCCTAAATTTGCTTAGGATTAAAAATCTCGCGCCGTGATTGGTATTGTGACTCCTAAATGTCAAACTGGCCCTGCAAAACTTTCTTGCATGTCGGTATGCTAATAAATATTTACCTACCTACAAACGACCATTTCAAATAGTTTGCTTCCCTTTCGGCATATGCTTGGAGGTTGGGTTCCATGGGTCGCTCTACGTAAATGGCTTTCCAGTTTGACTTTTTCTGTGAAGGTTTTTCTCCATTAACGTATTGGCATCCTTGGTGATATTTGGCGCCCTCTGATTATCCCTCACATTTGATGGTGCTACATAGCCTTCCCGGTTTGGTACCGCCGCCTTGATAATTACTTGCATACTTTCTCCATTAACGCAGATTTCTCTACCACCTTGACGACAAAGATGGAAATCGACGTAATATTCCAAAGCTATAAAGGTAATGGAGTTTTGATAGTCAGAGGCAGCAAAGGATTACCCATCCAAATAGCACACAGGATATACGATGGCGTCTTGCTGGAGCATCACGAAAAAGTTTATCTCCTCTTGGCTGTGACGAGGGTGAAGATGCACAAGGAGAACCACGTTCTGGAGGTACTTAGTTGATAGTCTTGCAAAATAGATGTTGGGTAGAGATTATTTATCCTAAATTTAGGGGTTTGCAAATTAGATAAAGGTGGGGGGGAGAAGGGAAAATTTACAGAATTTTTGAAACTTCTCCATTTGTTAGTTTAGACTAAAAAATGCTGGCTCCCTCTCCTCCCTTGTAGCTGTATTCTGTTAACCTGCACAAGAGGACTGTAAACTGGGTTGACGCGCACGTCATGGCTGCAAGACTCCAGCTCGCCGCATTCTTCGCTGGGGTGCCCACCACCGGCTCCTACATCATCGTGGCGCTGCAGGAGAGCCGCGTACCAGTAGTGTACACATTGCTTGGTAAGAAAGTCTGGTACTCTGTGGATTTTCACCTAGACGCGATTTGAGGCACTAGAATTACTTGAAGTTAAAATGCTCTGAAGAAGTCTTCTATGCATGGTACGTAGGTTTTTAAGCCCTAGATGTATTAATTCCCTGGACTTTCTCATCGCAGGTGAGACTCTGAAGGAGATGGCCCATCTGAGCACCCCGCGAGTCGCCTGGGTACAGCACATGCCGGTGGTCCACGGTACCATTACCGGTGTGTTAGAACATTACCTGCTGCTCGGACAGGCGGACCACAACACCGTCCTGGCGCGTCTGGTGATGAAGGGAGCTGCTCTACCAAAGATGAATCTTACCTGTGACTTTAATGACCCTGGCGAAGACTTACTTCAATCGGAAAGCCATAATACGTAAAAGTGATTTATGGCCTGCAGTAATTAAAGCTTCTTGCGCTATATACTAAATGGCCGGGCTGTTGTAGTGAGATTGGTGCTTTATATAACTATTGTTTAATTTAAAGATTTTAAAGTTACTAAAATCATGTTTTTCGAGGTCCATTAAAATTTTACGTAAAGAGCACGTGTTTACAAAATTCCGGTTGAAGAAAAGACTTGGAGCACATTTGCCAATGTAACTTGGTATTGGTTAGCAAAATGTATAAACGTATGCATATAGCAATGCAAGGTACACACACACATTCCTTAAAAATGCCAGATCTCTTTAATTTTATTACCAGTGATGTTAATAGATAAGGATATCTCTACCCGCCAAACATACACTGAAACTACGACGTTGGTACAACGTTCGAACAAGTTTAAACACCTAACCAGTCATGACAACCAATATAGCAAGTTGTAACAACGTTCTAATACGTCATAAACACGTTAAGCCAAGATGTAACAACTATTAAATGTTGTAACGAGCCGAAAATAAACGGTTTCGGTTTGTTTCCAGTTTCTAATCTAATCGGTAATAAATGCTAGTAAACGACTTTAGTACAAAAGAATTTTGATGTAATATAGCTAGCCTTGTTTAGAAATTAATCTTGTAAAGAATCGCTAGTATAGAATGATTGCATATATAACTCTCTGCTCTTGGTAGCTGTGAGTGTCTAACTTTACCCACTTGGCTCGTCCTCTGCGCTTCAGCGGGACGAAGAGATGCAATGTGGATTACGACATTACACTAGATTTTGTTTCCAATAACTTGGCAGGTTGTGCTAAGGGAAGATTTTTGACTTTCTGGTAGATATTGGTGTCGGTATTTGACTTTCACCACAGTCCTTCAGAGAAGGAAAAAAAGGTGCATTTTTATCTTCGAAAGACGAATGAATTTTAACGCGTTAAAGTTGTTTTCGTTGCAGACTCTTAAATTGCTCTAATGGCACGAGTCTTGTTAAACCCTTCAAATCCTATTGTAATGCGAATTCAACATTGGTCGCATCTCTCCTTTAACCGATATAAGTTTACGACTTCACCTACCTCCAAATGCCAAAACTCGGTTAACCTTTTTTAAAGCATAACTGGAAAAAATCATGTAAGCAAACTTTTTTTTTGGGGGGGGGGGGTTAGGTGGTGGAGCGGGGGGAAGGGGGGGGGGAGGTGGTGGGGAAGGGTGCCTTCAACAAGCAGCAGTCTTCCTGTCCTCGTCGAGGACGCTAATACTAGTGGCTCTGGTATAAAGCCATCGTGACTTTCCGGGATCAGGTTGTTGGTGGTTCCTAAAGCTTTCGGGATCATGTAATTTTTATCTTCACCGTAGTCTTGCTCCGGATACCAACAAAAGGTCATCGTGCAGGGAATATGATTCCCGTGATGTAGATAGACTGCTGCTTTATAGATCTCCTGAGTAATAGTTAGGATGTTTCGGTTTCTAGAATCCTTCCGTATCGCTGTATAGAAACGCTGGCTTGGCTTCTATATGATTGTAGGGACAGTTGGTGGTGACGGACGAAATTTGATTTAACTTTTTCGGAACACCTCATCGTTAGATTCCCCCCACGCCTAATTCTCAATCAAACCACCTTCCCTCCCTCGCACACCCCACTTGTCTTACCCCACAAACGTCCTCCCCCTCCCTCAAAATGCCCATTCCCCCCCCCCCCTCCCCTCAGATGCGGTGTCTCGCGTCACCACTCCATTTAGCTTTTTGCTGAATTTAACGATGTAAAAAAAAGTTGGCTGGTTCTGGGACTGCCTAATGGCTGGCTCAACAGGGTTTCCGCTTTGTTGAATTTTTTCGATGTAGAGTATAAAGTGGCCCAGATGTGATTTTACGTGGGCCAGGTTTGGTGTGGTGAAGGGAAGAATATATGTAGTAAGTGATGTGGTTGAAGGAATTTGGGTGTGCGAGAGGATGAATTTTATGGTTGATTAAAACCATCAAGGTCGGTTCCATATTTGACAACCCTGTGTCAATAATTACCTATTACTGTACATATTTTCACGAGGCAGGGACTAGTCAGTTTGGAGGAAATTAATGGAGTAAGGCACTCTGTGAATAAACTGAGATGTATCATAAATTGACAAGTGATCTTGACAACGCCAGCAATCCTCTACTTTAACACGCCTCTCCTGGTTTGATAAGTTGTTATATACTGCGTCTAATATCCACTGACTTTAACCTAGCGTCTTCCCTTGTATTTCCTTCAGCGGCTGTAGAGTTTAACACCCATATTTGCTTCCTACATTTAACACATTGGGGATATTTTCCTAAAATTTCTGGCAGAATACTTTGAATGTAATATTTACACATTTCTCTAACATCTGTTATAAGAGCTGTCTCTAAAGTCTTTTAACACTCCATCACTCTTTGGCGAAGGGGGTGAGAATACGTTTGCCGACAGTTCACATTTGGTCAGCCGGGTACTGTAAGTTCCCGTAGGTACTTTATAATGGTCTAAGCCGCCGTGCAATAATGTCTGCTGATTTCATTACATGACCCATAGATGTGTAGCTCTTCTTGCTGCTGTATGCTTGGAAGTCGGTCAACTGACGTTGACTTTGTTCAGAATACTGGGGGTGATATTGTTACATTGTGTATATCTGCTGCCGCTTACCTTTTACTAACATTTTTCTGTGCTATAGTTATAGCACTTAACCCCTTTCAGAGCAGACCAAGTATTCCGTAAGTCTCTTTTTAATTGCTTTACATAGTTGTTTACTTCGTTCGTGTGTTGGGAGTAATATACGGTCTTTAATCCCACTCTTAATGCCGAGTATCCAAAGGCATTCATGGAATCCTTCTCCACTTCGGTCTTCAAAGGAAGTCTCGAATATTTACCACCACCACCAAGATCTGCACCAGTGGCGGCTCCAGGCCGGCTCTCACTGGACCCCGTCAGTGATCACCACAGTCCCGTGTATAAACCATCCTGCGATATATCCAAGTCGGTATATTTCAGAAGGATCTTTTGTTTATATGTACTGCTGTTAGTAGTGGTGGAAAGTCTGCCAGGACATAGTGACCTAGAGAACCTTAGTTCATTTATTATGCACCCAATACCCATCTTGTGGGCGGTAGTGGAAAGGGTTAGAGGCACATAGTGGGCTCAGGGACTGAACCTCGCAATTCATTTAGCTAAGTTAATCTTGAGCTAGTTACAAAATTCAATAGTCATATTAACAATGGGTTCGACCCGAATAGTTTCTAAATTGAGCAACCGACATGTGTGGAGAGTTAGTGTCACAATTGATGTTTATCCTGCACACCCCCCCCCCCCCTCCCTTTCCCATCCAGTGGGCAGCGGTGGATAGGTTACAACCACTCCGTTATTACCTACAGTTAGCAAACTAAGGCTATTTGGCAAAGATTTCTGGTAGCAGATAATTTTGAATGAAATAATTACACTTTTTTAGAACATTTGTTATAGAATTGTCTCGTAATTCACTTATCTTTTCGCACTCCATCACATAGTGACGGAGGGTGTGCGAATAATTATTTTGAGTTTACATTTAGTCAGGTCTAAATCGGCAGATAATGAGTTCCCAGAGATACTTGTAACAGTCTTAAGCCTAGCAGTAGTAACCTCCAGAAAGTCTGATTTTATTGGATGATCGTTAGACTAGTGAACTCAGACCCCAATATTTGGCTAATTAATAGTGACAATTGATGAATTATTGACTGCATTCGTCAATCAATTTTCAAATTCAGTTAACTTTAGTCCACAATAAGTTTCGTGGTACAGAGTGGGCTCGGGTTGAACAAAATATTTTTCATAAATCAAGTTAAAAGCAGTGATGACTTGGTCACAATGGCTTAGACGCTGAAGCTAATAGCTTTAGCATCTAAAGGTACCAAAGATTTAGGAGTCTGTTGTGGGTTGTATCCTGGGGACTGGCAGTCATTGACCTAAGCTGTAGAGGAACTTTAATAAGCCTTACACGTTTAATAAATGAATTAATAATAATTCATTATCCCAAGTGTTCATACATGTTAGGCTTATATCGAGGTTCCTCCCCCTCCCCCCCCCTCCCCCCAAAGATCAAACTGATGCAACCCAACAACAAGCTAACTAATGTATTTACTTACTGCTAGGTGAACAGACCATTAGGTGAAAGGAAATATGCCCAATCATTTCAGTCCCGCTCGGGATTCGAACCCGGAATTGTGCGTCAAGAACGACTGTCCTACCGGGAGCCCAATCAATGTGTTGCCGAATTCTTTGCCACCATGAGCCCCCAAGAACGTATGAACAGCCATGCTGATGACAATGATTAATCCTATTTGGGTATACAACACTCAAAATATTACACATCACACGCACCCCTCACGCGCGAGACACTGAAAAAATCCAACCTGTTCAGGAGTATGACCCCCAAGCCATAATGCACGTGCACACGATTTAGAAAACGGTATTTGAGCGCGCACGCACCCATGAGCCGACAAGGGTGGCAAGGTTAGGAAGCAGAGCCACAACACACGATTCAAGGATCGCGTTACCATGATTAACTTCGTCAATGTAATTGTCACCTTGTGGCAAGGAACACGACCTACCCTGTTTTTGTAATGATCAGAAGGGAGGCAAGGCTCGAGCTAGGAAGTTAGGTGACGATGAGCCGAGCTGAGCTTAGCCTAAAAAAAGGGAAGGTAAGGAGCAAATCAAAGGACACGGAGGCAAGAATATACTTGTTCAATATGAAAGCTAGGAGGTGGAGAGAGAGATTGAGGCGTGCCTAAATGGTCTTGAGCTACTGTGTGCAAAACCTTAGAACAAATGTGAGGCTTCGGACAGAAGATAACTTTTAAGATAAGTGTCAGTCTCGCTTCATACAGGTCGTCGTTCAATCGCTGACCGTCCAAGTGTTTGGGCACCATTCTTTTCCCCGCGTCCCATCCCAAATTCTTATCCTGATCCCTTCCCAGTGCTATATAGTCGTAATTACTTGGTGCTTTCTCGTGATAGTTCACTCCCTCCTGATCAGTTATTTCCTTCCCTGTATCTCAAAGCCCATTACGATGAAACTAGCTGTTTTGGGGGTCCTAGATTACTTAACACATTACCACGTAGGCGTTGCTTTTACGAAACGCGCATCACTAAAACTTTTACCCCTCCTACGGTTCTAAAACACCTTTTCCTTGAGCACTTTTCTTCTCCCGCTCCGTTTCTATTTTCACCCACGGGTCTAAGTCTGCGGACAGTGTTGGCTACTCTGTTGTTTTTCCTGATCGCACTTATGTATCGCTTACCTCCGGAGACTAGCATCTTCACAGCGGAGCTTTATGCTATTCTCTATGCTCTTCGTCTCCTGCTTTCTCGTTGTCAGTCTTCCTTTATAGTTGTTGTTGACTCTCGTAGTGCCCTCATGGCTCTCGGGTACTTTAATCCGGTTCATCCAGTAGTTGTCGAGATCCAGTATTGGCCGTTTCTTGTTCATATTAAATTTAAGTCGGTTGAGTTTTGTTGGGTTCCCAGCCATATTGGTGTGTCTTTAAATGAGCGTGCGGATGCTGCCGCCAAGGAAGCTGTCCGCTCTTGTCCCATCTCTCATAAAGGTATTCCATATTCCGACTTTTACCCGGTTATCCATTCCTCCATCCTTACCCGTTGGCAGGCTTCCTGGTCGTCTGTTACTGGTAACAAGCTACGTACTCTTAAATGTTGTGTTTCCTCGTGGCCGTCTTCCTACCACCGTAACCGGCGATGGGAAACGGCTCTGGCGAGGATGCGTATTGGCCATACTCGCTTAACCCATGGTCACTTGATGGAGCGCCGCCCTGCTCCTTATTGTCCTAGTTGCATTGTCCCTCTTACGGTCGTGCATGTCCTTCTTGAATGTCCTGACTTCCAGGACGAGCGTATGTTTTGCTTTCCGACCGCCCCTCGCGGTCACCTGTCCCTCGATAGAATTCTTGGTGACTCGGATACTTTTGATATCGTTCGCCTTATGCGTTTTTGTTCTCGTATTGGCATCCTTGGTGATATTTAGCGCCCTCTGATTATTTTGCGTATTTGATGGTGCTACATAGCCTTCCCGGTTTGGTGCCTTCTTTTGATAATTACTTACTTACTTACTGCTCCTTATTGTCCTAATTGCATTATCCCTCTTACAGTCGTGCATGTCCTTCTTGAATGTCCTGACTTCCTTGACAAGCGTGTGTCTTGCTTTCCGACCGCCCCTCGCGGTCACCTGTCCCTCAATAGAATTCTTGGTGACTCTGATACTTTTGATATCGTTCGCCTTATGCACTTTTGTTCTCGTATTGGCATCCTTGGTGATATTTAGCGCTCTCTGATTATTTCACACATTTGATGGTGCTACATAGCCTTCCCGGTTTGGTGCCTTCTTTTGATAATTTCTTTCTTACTCTTTGTTGTGTAGGCTAGATAGGCCACGATATTTACCTATGTATGTTTCAGTATAACATTGATGCATTAGTAGTAGGATAGGCTGCAAGACAGCCAGTGTCCAGGACTGTTGAAAAGGAGTGTAAGTATATGCTAAGTGTAAGTAAGTAGTACTTACTTAGTGTAAGTTACTTAGTGTAAGTAAGTAGTACTCAAAATGTAAGCCATCACCTATTGTCAGGACAACTGCAGTTCCAGGTTCCCTACACTATGGGGCGGTGTAGGAAACCATCAGTGTATATGATCTGAGAGAGAATGCTCTGTGGAGAGAGCATCAATATGGCTTAAGGCGTTGAGCTTTGCCTCAAGACGAAGTTTGGGCTGATCTCTAATTTGTTTCTTGGGTGGAATGGGAGGGATTAAAATTGGAAGGGGTGTAATCTCCCACGGTGCAGGAAAGTGCCGTTGTTATTTCTCTTGGTACAAATTATAAACCTATCCATCTGGAACAATGCTGACCTTCAATAAAGAAATTCTGGAGAGCTTCTGTGCATGGGTTAGAATTTTAAAATGTTAACAAGGGTTAAAAAGTAGTTAGCCTAAGCATTTTTAAACCAATTTGACAGTTAATTTCAGTAACACGATCAACAACGCTCGGAATATTAAGTTCCTTTCTCGTGTTAAGTATCTTTATGGTACGAGGACACCCAAGGATTATCCTCAAGGCTTTGTTCTGCAATTTTTCAAGTCCTCCAAGCTTTCTTGCAGGCATCAAAACAAGCAGAGGTGCAACAAAATCCACTAAAGATCTGATGTATGCAAGGTACATCATTTTGACAATTCTGACATTGGCACCATAGCCCGAGTGATAATCTGCAACAGCCTTGAGAGCTCGGAGCCTCTCTTTATACCGACGATAGAGTCTGAATACAACATGACCATACAGTGGCACCTCAAGGTCAATGAAATTGAATCTGTTTACATAGTCAAGCTTGGAACTATCAGACAGCCCAAGAGATAAGAAAAAGTTGCGTAGGAGATTGAAAATTTTATAAGTTACTCTCTAAAATACGTTTTCTATTCGTGCTGATTGCAAAGAAAACGGAATATTTTGAAACGGTTACCCTACTAGTTTAATTGACATTCCTGATGATAACGTAATGCAATGATTTATTAGTTTATTTATTATATATCCTATAACCATCCTGTGGATGATAGTGGGAAAGGTTAAAGGCACATAATGGACTCGGGCATTGAACCCCAAAATTTATTTAGCTAAGCAAGTTAGTCGTGATAAGCTAGTTACACAGTTTAATGTTCAGTATTTATTATTTTAGTATATTTTGGCAGCAGTCTTTCTTGTAAATATATGTTGTTGAAAATGACAGAAATGGTAAGATTATTGATTAACACGAATATTCTCAATATTTCTTAAGTTTTTCTTCACTGTCGGGGGTAATCTGAAATACGTGTGCCCATCTGGACTGAAGAAGGCTGCCTCTTTAGTGCAGACTTGGAGTAGCTTTCTTATAATGTTTTCTGATATGTCGAGAGGAGTACAAGCCGGATCACAATACACTCCATAAAATTTGTATAATAACCCTGCTTCCAAAGGAATGACCGTCAGGTTTAATAATCAGCATTACAAATACTGAAATACAGATCTGCAAGGGGCTTCCCCTCCCTCCCTACTCTGGTTGGATAGACATCAAACCCCAAGACATGAAGGGTCCTAGAAGTACAGCCAGGTTAGCTTTGTCTTGACTCTCGATCAAGATTTCCAGGTTCGAATCCCGGGCGGGACAGAAATGGTTGGACACATTTCCTTTCACCTAATGCCTCTGTTTTCCTAGTAGTGAGTAGGTACTCAGAAGTCAGTCAGTCTGGGCAGGGGGGGGGAAACCTTGATAAAAGCCAAACGTGTGTGAATACACTCGGGCTTCCTGTCCCCCAACATAGTGATTATTATTATTGTATGTGGAGTACTCTTAAGGAACCATCAAGCATTTAGATTGGGTATATATATTATATTTATGTTTAGGACAGGAAGTCTGTGTAATATATATACTTTAAGCAAGCATTGAGATCCTCTAGGTTGAACTACTGACCCTCTCCAGGATCCAACCCACAACAGTTGCCTAACTTCTGGGTACCTATTTACTGGCAAGGTGAACAGAGGTATTGAGTGAAAGGAATTATGCCCAACGACTTCTGTCCCACTTGGGAATTGATTCCAGGATCTTGGATTGTGAATCAAGGATGAAGCCAACTGTACTATGAGATCCTTTTAATGTACAAGATAGTATAGCATGCCAAAATAGTTTGGTGCCATCTTAAATTAATTTGGAAATACAGTACTATACTTGCTTTTGGTGGCCAGATAAAAATCGAATAAATTTCATGAGAAATATAGTAATAGAAAACAAGAATGTTCTAATTTTTATTCCAGCATTCTTTTTCAATAACTTTCATATTTCAACATGTTTTAAACCGAGGTATTTTTAAAAAAAAAAGAGTTCCTGGCTATTTTTTAAAATGAGGTACTATATATATACAATGTATATATATATCACTGCAAGTACTATTGTTTTTTAGGTGAAGGTAATTGTCCATTGGACAGACTGGTGACATTACCCTAAACTTTTTTTCAAATATAATGATCCTGTCAGTGAATTGAACATTTTCTTAAACATGACAAGTTTCTAAATGTACAATTAAAGACCATAAACAAAATATAGCTTTATTACAAATTTTGCAATTACTTCACTTAATTCACTTGAAATAACTTTAATATAACAATTTCTTGTATTCTTAAAAAATTTACATATATATTTATACATTATACAAATATTGTACATATACTTTTAAATATATATATTTACAAGTAATTACTGAACTAATGAAGGTCTTCAGTGTGCATCAAGTAAATCAGACCAGTTGTTCACATTAATAGCACACAAGACCATGCAGATAAAAAGGCACTCGTAAATCTTGTAAAGTGGAAAATTCCCTAAACATACTTTCAATATAACATTGTTAAAAGAATAATTTGTAAGATACTAAAACACAACAGTGCATTGGCATATACTTTATGCTCAACATTAATTCACTCGACATTAGATGTTAAACCTTCCAATGCCCAATATATAAAATACTCGTAGTGTAAACGGTTATCTACAGTAATAATTCTCACTCATCAACTTGAAAGGTTTTTACTGCTATCAATTTCATAAATACTTTTTAATGTTCCTTTGTTAACATCATTTTCTTCTAAAGCAGCATCTTTGCATATATTTATATCATAGCAAACATGTGACGTGTAAACATCAAAGAGAAGAGATATAACGTTATCATATAAGACACGGTACTTTGTTGGGAGCATGTAGAAGTTAATAGTCTGTGCAGGAGGCCATACAATCCATTCTGCAGCATACAGCCTCCAACTTTTATGACGAAGATCTGTGAGGAACTCCTCCCAATCACCTCCTCTGAAGAGTCCAAGGGATATAAAGAAAACTGTGAGGCAGACTGGTGAGAACAGTAACTGGTCCACCAGCAGCTTCTTAATCACCACATTGAATGTTCGACCTGGAAATTTTCTGTCTAGCAAGACATACCTGAAACGACAACACAGTGATTTCATACTCTGATCCAAATCTATCCAATAGCAAGATAATTAAGAAATGTTTAAAAATTAATGCAGCGAGTGGTATGAAATGCTTCTGTCTTTGACCTAGCTAGGGGTAGCAAATGAGGGGCTGCAATGTATCTAAATAGGTTGTTGCTAGGTTAAGGTTGACTTTGAGCCTCGCCAGAACATGTAGCTTCTCAAATAGACTTGTCTCAAAGTCCAGGAACAGAGACTGTGGCGAGCACCATCCACCATCAAAAACAGCATGTTGTGACAAAAAAAAAAAAAAGCTAGACCCCCTTGCAAATAATCAGTGGGTAAATATTGCCAGGACACTCAAATTCTGTCGGTTCTTCAATTTCGAATGTGTGAATTGAACATCAAATCTTTCTGAAGAGCTTAAGATTATACAGTTTATTCAATTGTGTGTCAAGCCTGGATGCAAATAGAAAACACACTGGGGTATTTTGTAATATCCTTGAAAATAAATTGCATATTTAGTTTTGTGAAGTAGTTAATCCCTTTGAAAGTGAATACAGTACTGTAAATTGTATTTTATGCACGATTCATAGCTGATACTGCTCAAGCTAATTTAAAAATAGAACTTCATTCACCTCAGAGTTTATACTGCACATTTCAAAATGATTTGCACCTCTGAAAACTAATTATCCAGTTAACCCTATAACTCCTAACCAATTAAAAATCCTACATCCAGATGTGCATAGAAAAAAAAAAAAAGGTTCTGTATTAATACCTATAAGATCAATCACACAACAGTGATTTGAGAACAGGAGCAAACTGCCAACAGTGTGTGTGTGGGTCAAAGACATATATACTCACCAGTGGTGACAGAGAGCCCCTACAGTTAAGCCTGTGCACGTCATGTGTCGTGTTCGGGCTATGTCCCAAGATTTTTGCTGCTTGCTGATCATATTATGATGTTGTTGAAGGATATCACCCATCCCTATAGTATGAAGGCAAGAAATCACATTTTCAAAGGATAAGTACTTCTGTATTACTTATCACTATTAATATTCCACACACTATTAATATTCCAGGAAAAAAGTTAAAACAAAAAAAAATCATGTTGTAACAAATTGAAAATTATGTATTCAGCAAATTACATTTTATGATTTCAGTGAATTACCAATACAGTAGTTCTGATACTACGAGACTTCAGCCAACCAATTATACTTTTTACCTTACGTAATTTAAGACAAAACATGCAAATTAATTTGTCAATTTTAAAAGTAAAATATTAATTATTTCTGTGACATGAGCACAATACAACATGGCTAACTTCATCGGCTAATTCAGGTATGAATAGAAATAAAACATAAATAGTTCGAGACCAGTCTAACTATTATGGTGGCCTTGTAACCCATAACCCAGTTGCCACAACCACAGAATGAATACACGAGCCATACTAAATTAATTCGACTATGCTACACATTTATGCAATGAAAATGACGAACAGCTTTCTACACTGGTCAGCTACCCGAGCAGGTAGCTTTTGTTTTCCATAGCTAATTTTTGGCCTAAGGGTGCAAATTGAGTGAAAGCTCAGAAGTCAGACTAAAGAGTATGGATGAGAAGCTCCATTCTGAGCAGATCACTTGGTTGTCACCATTTCCTCCTATTTAGTCCTGATTTTCTCTTTGCTGTCTGGGATTCTATTCTATTTAAATAAAGAGGGTAGCCCATTACTACTTTGTTTACAGTGTAGTTTCTACCAGATAGTGAGGATTATGAGTAGTGGTCAGTTGTGCAACTGCACTCTACTAAGCAGTCTCTTTTAGGCTGATTATTGCTTGGAGAGAATTGAGAGATTAGATGAATGAACCTTCAGGAGGTCAATGAGAAATTGGCATTTCTTTTTCTCCCTTTTCGAACACCAACCCTACGGGAACCTCAGAAAAGATCCTCACTCTGAGGGGAAGTAAAATTTGTCAACCTGGCCTAGCTATTGTTTCGTCCAGTTCTTGGTAAAAATATAGTATTGCCTTAAGTGAGCAACCGAGTGGGCTGCACAAAAAAGGTGCTCTTCTTCTGCATTAGCTAGTTTTTCAATTTTTTCAGGCAAATACTTCCCTGTGAAAGTGGGAAACAGGATGGTGACAATGTTGGTAAATGTAAGAAAATTTTACAAAATAAATAGAATATACTGCATATTCTATTGTAAAAATGTATATGCATTGTAAAATGTATATGCTGTACATTGGAATGTTTGTCTTACTGAAAAATGGGTAAATCTGAAACAGTATGCTTACCTGAGAGAGAAAATGAGAGGGTTAAATTTGTGATGAAAAGGTGCTTATTGAATGCATTATGTATAATCCTACGGGCTGGCAATACAAAAGAAGACTGCAGTGTTTTACGAACAAAATCCAGACCCCGCAACATGGCTCCTGAAATAAGAGTACAGTATAAGTTAAGGGAGAGACTAGATACCAACATTCATCTGCATCATTCAACCATTTAAAAAAAAAATTATATTAAGCAATAAAGGATTTCATTAAAATAATACAGATAAAATTTAGTTTACCAAACCCTTCAGAACTATTGTTCAATACAGAACAGTACTATAGTAAAATTAATTAGGCAGTAGAATATAACTCAATATTATTTTTTATACTATTCAATTCAATTTCTTTATTATGCAGCCTATACCCATCCTGTGATTTTTTTTATAGTATGCAACACTTATAGGTTACTGTACTATGAGATATGCCTCCTCGACACTAAGCAGTCCATGTGAGAGTCATACAGAAATCCTTTCCACCATAAGTAACCAGTAGAGAATGTTTAGTTTAACTCGAGATGAAATTTGTTGTGAGAATAGGCTTCATTTCATTATTTATTTATTTATTTATTTCATTATTTATTTATTTATTTATTTATTTGTTTATTGTATTTATAAAACCCAGCATTGAATGTAATGAAACATCTCTTTCTGATATAGCCCTGGTGGCTTCCTGTAGCTATTTTGCCGAGACTGCTCCAATCGACCAGTCATATCAGTTTCACGAGTTCATTTGGCCTACCGGAGACCAGAACCAAAACCTGGCCCCCCTCTCAAGGCACGGGAAGCAAATGACACGACACCATTTTACAGATGAAGCATTCAAAAAATAAGCGAAGCTTAAGAGAGAACTGCTGTGTTCACATAGCTCAAAAGGCATTAAACTGCCAAATAACTCCCCAAACAATTCAGCATAAACAAAAGAAAACACACAAAACTAGCTGGAACCCATTAGTATTGAATGCTGGCACCAGGTGGCTCGGAACTCAGTCCCACTTCAGCTATTGGATAGTAGTGTCCGTGGCGACGTGGTAACACACTCGCCTGGCATTTTACGACCACTTTGGCTTAGGTTCAGATCCTGGCCGGGGTGGATTTACTTAGAACCAATCTTTAATTGTAGCCTCTATTCACCCAGTAGTGTATGGGGACCTGGTTGTTAAACAATTTGTCGGGTCATATTCAGTGAAAAATTAGGATTAAGGACTTGCCTGAAATGTTATGTGTGCCAGTGGTTGTACAAGAATGTAAGAACTCATTTATATATAAAAAAAAGTTCAGGAGCAGATAAACACTGCAACGAACTGATGAACATGGAAGGTTGGGAGGGAGACAGGTTGCCACCAGCACTCTACCAGAAAGAGGCATTTCATTACATTCAATGCTGGATTTCTGGAGAAGCCCCATGGTGGCTCTCTGTAGCCGAATAACTACAGAGAAAAATTAAAGGGACTTACCAGAGAGAAGAAGAGGCAGAAGGCACGAAGTCGAAGTACAGACCATTGGCTGGGAAACACAACCCAGGGCAACATAGGACCTTAGAGCTCCTGGGACATTGAATAAATACCTGGCTGCCATGATCCTGTCAGTCTACCAAAATCCCACAGTCCGAATTCCTTCCTAAGACATATTAGAGAAGACCGCCACAAATGTGGCCTATTTCCAACCATCAAGGGGCCCAGAGATAGACTGTAGGCTTGCTAGCCTTGACACTGCCGACAACCTAAGATATACAAACCTTGGAATAGGGGGGCCCAAGGAGATTAGATCACCCGAAAGAGCATGCATAGAAGCTGAGGCGGTGGCATGCAGGAAGCATTGAATTGCCGCCACCAGACAACAAATGATGCACCACTGGCAAAATCAACCAAGCATCAGTTTCTGCCTGACATGCTGTGCATGCTAGTGGCTTTACAGGAATGTAAAATTTCAAGTCTCTTTACTTTAATAAACCCAATGTACCTTCTTGTATATAAATAAATAAATAACCAAAAGACTCCTTTGGAAGCCCACCAACTTGTTCTTTACCAGACAAGGAGGAGGTGGTTGCAAACAAAGAAATGCCCACCAAGGCAAATAAAAACTGAACCCCCGCCTCTGGAGAAGAGCATGAAGTTCACCAACCTAACAACCAGAGGGCAAGAGTCAGCAAAAAGAAAGAAAAAAGCTGTCTTTAAAAAGAAATCCCAAACCAAAGGGGCAGACATGAACCTAAGGGAGGAAAGAAAATAGATTACCCTGTTCAAGGACCAAGATGGCTAAGAAGCTTTAGCAGGCCACAGGTGAAAAACACACGAGACAAATTGCTTAACGGAGCTGCAGAGGAATTGATTTTGAAAGCCAATAACAGTTTCTCCGCAAGAGTCACACAATAGAAATCAACAGCATTAGGCATCAGATGCCGATGAAGAAACAACTATGAAAGAAAAATATCACCACAAACCGAAATTCAGTAACTCCACACACGACGAAACTTGGAGAAAGTCAAACCAGCAAGGAACATCGTTGGACCAATTCTCTGAAAGAGGTGGAGCCAAAGAAAAACAGCCAGGGTCAGACACCAGGCTACAAGAGCCAGAAACCAAGGCTGAGTCAATCACCAAGGAATCAGAAGGATCACCCTCCCTGAGAAAGACTCCAATCTGGAAAGAAACCAGAGCAACAACTAATGCAAAGAGATCCACCTTGGGAGTCTGGGACAACCAAATGTCTTGCAAGGCTACTGGAAGGACACATTGTTGACAGTCCATTCCATAGAAATGGTCAAAGAGAACCTATCTGTAAAAGAGATTTTAACCACTCAAAACTTTGCTCATGCTACACTACAGTGTACATGAAATGCCACCAAGTGCAAACACCACCAATCAGCTGAAAAAGCAGAATACTGGAGCCAGCTTGGAAGAGAAGCAACCTGGTACACACTACATCACCACTAGATGGGCTACCTTCTCTATCCCCCCCCCCACCCAAAAAAATGAACAGAGAACATGGGACAAACAAGCTCACTCTAGTTCCAAGAGAATTTGATTGATTGTTACATAGTTGGAAGAGTTCTTTCAGCAGGTATTAAGCAGCTGACTCACTGACCTTCTGGTTGCCTTCCCTAGTGAGGTGGGGCAAAATAAATATCACTGCTCCCTGTGCTTCGGAGAGCGGGCCAGATTCTGGCACTCATCCCTGATAGGCCAATTGAACTCCACAGCCGATAAGATCTAGTAGAAGGCACTATACCAGTACTGTATACTACTGTATAGTAACTTCAGGGGAACAATAAGGGGTTCCCCCCCCCCCACCCCCAGAAAGATGGCATAACTATCCTACCTGGCTGAACAATGATAAAGTGGTAAATTAATTCCATTAACAGACTAATAGATATCATTTTACAAATCAATTTTTCTTTAAATTCATTACCTTTAATTTTTTCCAACAATTTATAAAATAATTATTTTATTTTTTGTACAATAAATAAAACTAGTTGAAGTGATCAAGTACCAGTAACCTAACCTAAATTAAATTTAACCTATACTAACCGTAGACATAGAAAAAACTAGTACTTTACTGATAAGCAGATTAATTAATTTGTTAATTAATACTCTATTAGATATTTTGTCAGAATTCTAAAGTAAAAATTGGCACTGGTGGGCTCCATTCAACATAAGGCAAGGTCCTTAATTTAAACAAACTGGTCTTTGATTGCACGATTCGGCATCTTATAATAATTTGCTGCAATGACTTATCATAGCCAATATAGTGTTTTTTAAATGTATATGTCATATTGTAGATACTGAATGTATGTTCAGTTTGGTATAGCCTGTAATACTTACATTTTAAATGACTACATGTTGGAGTGTGTGCATGTTGTCCTATAGCTTCAATTTACAACTAATTTACCTGAGGGCCACTAACCCTAGTGGCCTCGACGAGGACAGGAAACAGGCGGCTTGTCGAAGGTCACCCCAGTTGCTTAGATGATCTTTTCCAGACCTACAACTGTGGGTCTGACGTCTCTGCTCACCAAGCAATAAATAAGTTGGGCAACTGATTGAGTGGCATCCTGCGAGAAAAAACGTTGGCCTGGAGGTGGGGGAAGGAACTCGACACCTCTGAGCATTGGCTTCCTGTCCTCGACAAGATAAAAGAACATACCTGTATACAGATCACGCCGTCGTGTCCTAAACGTTTCTAACCAAATTTGTTACTTCAAACAAATAAATAAATAAATAAATAAATGTTTATTCAGGTAAAGTACATACATACATGAGGTTATACAAAAATTGATAGATTTATAGATAGAGCTAGTACATACAATGCCTAAAGCCACTATTACGCAAAGCGTTTCGGGCAGGAAATGGACAATTAACAATTAAAACCATTTCTGTTCCCTTCCTAATCAATACCATATCAATATCAATTCTTATTCTCCCATACCAAAGTAAAAAAACTGAATAAATTACCAAATATAATGGAAAACTTGTCACATGTTGATCGCCGGAACGAGGCTGCAGCCGACTATACCAGCAATGTTTGGGTCGTTTACACACCAAGCTGGAGGAACGCTATGGAAAACGTAAAAGAATGAACTAACATAAATGCAGCCCGTCTTTCAAAGACTCAAAAGTGATTTCGTGCACCCACCAAACCCCTGTTTATGAATGAAAAACGGTTTACACACAACCCGTCCTCGATTCAAGTCCATTACATCTAGCGGTCGACCGAACCGACGCATTTATAAATTTTTACATGTTGTTCATTAAAAACGGGAATATTTTCATATATAAATTAATATTATAATATGTTAGCATATTGTGCATATCTAGACATAGGTTAGGTTAGGTTAGGTGTTTAGGCTCTGTTGCCGATTATTTGTACTTGTAATACGTGGGTTGTGGCTCAACAAGGTTGTGGCTCGAACAAAATTCGTCAATGAAGCACTTGTTCCGGAAGTGTTCGAACGAAATCAGTTGTGAGTCCAGCCTGTCCTCCAAACAAAGATCCAAAAGTGATTCCATGCACCCGCCAAACCCCCTGTTTATGAATGAAAAGCGGTTTACACACGACTCACAACTGCTGACGTTCGAACATATCCGGAACAAGTGCTTCACTGACGAATTTTGTTCGAATCAGAACGCTATAAATGCTTCACCCACGTACTACAACTACAAATAATCGCCAACAGAACCTAAACACCTAACCTAACCTATCCCATACCTATATATACACAATATGCTAATATACTATAATATTAATTTATAGTTAAGAAAATTCTCGTTTTGAATGAACAGCATGTTAAAATTTATGAATGCGTCTGTGGGGTTGACCGCTGAATGTAATGGACTTGAGTCGAGGACGGGTTGCAGCCTGTCCTCCAAACAAAGATCCAAAAGTGATTCCATGCACCCGCCAAACCCCCTGTTTATGAATGAAAAGCGGTTTACACACGACTCACAACTGCTGACGTTCGAACATATCCGGAACAAGTGCTTCACTGACGAATTTTGTTCGAATCAGAACGCTATAAATGCTTCACCCACGTACTACAAATACAAATAATCGCCAACAGAACCTAAACACCTAACCTAACCTATGCCTATACATGCACAATATGCTAATATATTATAATATTAATTTAAAGTAGAGAAAATTCCTGTTTTGAATGAACAACATGTAAAAATTTGTGAATGCGTCAGTGGGGTCGACCGCTGGATGTAATGGACTTGAGTCGAGGACGGGTTGCTGATCTCTGCTATTGTGATTGTAGCCTTACCACTACTGCCCACTGGACAGGTGTCGGGTAATCCACCATGATGGCAGGTAAAGGCAAAAAAACAGGCTTGCGGGAACGACAGGCTAGGAGAGAGAGACACGGCAGATAACACGCATAGGGGATACAGTAAGAGAATAGCTGCAAACTGTACGTGGTCCACTAAATTCTCAATTATATTTGATTATAAAATGTACATAGAAATTTGTCCCTGTTTGGGTAAACGTTACTTTACATTGGCATTAGCCCGTCTGCGATGCAATTTCAAATTACTAAAACCCTTTATGTAATATTGTATTGTATTATTATTATTATTATTATATTTTACAAAGCTTTGAGATAAGGTGAATTTATGGGCTCAATAATCTTCATAAATTATATTTTGAACAGAACATATATATTTTTAATGTTCTGTAGGAAATATGCAAGATTGAAAATTCGTCTTAATTATTACGAGTTAATTTGTGCAATGTTTATTAAAACAATATTACAAGAGGACAAATAAAACAAATGAGGAATTTCCCAAGCACCTCTTTATTATATACATTATAGTAGGCTTCCAAGTTTTGTACATCGTTCTAGAAATATTTACACTATTATTTCTCCTCGTGCCCCATTAATGCATTACACAAAGTTTATTTACACATTTAGAAATAAACAATTAAGAGTGCAATTAATATTTGAATAACAATGATTATCGACCTTAATATAAACACGAACGCAATACAAAAAATATCTGCAGAGCGTATAATGGCGTCCACATGGCATTTCCTTTATAGTTGTATTGCATTCAATGTTGTTCATACGAGGCTGTACATTTATAGTTGGGAACTTTACATAAAAATACAGTAAATTAATTGCATTATAACTTGTTTTGTCGGAGACTGGTAATCCGTGTATATATTTATTTTTGTATATTGTATTTTTTCTCTATTCCATATTTAAGAAGATTAATGGGTTGTTAAAAAACATATATGTTGACTTATATCGGGGTACATTTTTCACTATTGACCTACCTAGGAAGCAACCCCACAGTATATGACTAACTCCTGGATACCTATTTACTGCCTCGATGGACGCAATATCCAAGAGAGAGTGTGTGTATTTCCATAGTTGTGCTTGCGGGGGTTGAGGTTTGCTCTTTCGGCCCGCCTCTCAACTCTCAATCAACTGTTACTAACTACTGACTAACTTGCAGAGGAGGATTCACAATAACGTGCCTGAAATATGTTGATCAAACCACACACTAGAAAGTATTAAGGGACGACGACGTGTCGGTCCGTCCTGGACCATTCTCAAGTCGATTGTGTGTCGTTTCTTCACTTTCTAGTGTGTGGTTTGGTCAACACTGACTAACTTATATATATATTTTTCTTCCCCCCTCCCCCCCCCCACACACAGGAAGCAGCCCGTAACAGCTAGCTAACTCCCAGGTACTTATTTACTGCTAGGTAACACAGGCATCAGGGCGAAAGAAACTTTGCCCATTTGTTTTTGCCTGGTTCGGGAATCGAACCCGAGCCACAGAATTACGAGTCCCACACGCTGTCCACTCAGCTACCAGACCCCCTGTGTGTATGTGTGTGTGTGTACTTACCTAATTGTGCTTGCGGGGGAGGGGGGTTGAGCTCTGGCTCTTTGGTCCCGCCTCTCAACTGTCAATCAA